TGTTTCTCTCCTTCTTAGTCTCCCCAGAAATTAATAAAAACCTTAAAAAAGTAAAACAGAACAAAACAAAATACAAATAAAAGCTGAAAGCCTGCATCTTGGTTTTCCCTAATTTGGGTTCACTTAGGTTGACCAAAATCTACTCACGACAGTGAGAAGAGCACATAAAGGACAGGCATTAGTAAGACAAGGTGTGTGTGTGCCCACAACCTTCAGGGGTCCTGAGACTGAGCAGAGGAAGGACATAATGTCATTGTATACACTAATGAAAGGTTTTCAACATCAGTAAATTTAAAAGGTCAGTATTTTATGGCCAAAACAATAGTTTGTATATGGAAGGTGAGAGAATTTTCTTTGTGATTGGGGTTGGTCTCGTGCTCTGGCAGTGAAACGTAACTGCAGAATTCTAGCTTTCCCTGAGAATAACAGGTGCTCACTCTGAGGCAGGTCAGTGCTCTGAGGTATCTTGTCATCTTCTTGACCTGGCATGCTCCTCTGACCTGTCAGCCAGGGAAGTAGTTTTGTTCAAATATGCAATGCTCCGACAAAGAAGATTTCATGAACTCTTACTCTTGATATGACATAAAAGATTCCATTTCAAGATTTTCTGAAAAGCAAGGGAGCCAGCAGGGGAGTGGAGAGAGACGGGAGATCGGATTCCTGCAGCACTGGAGCTGGCAGAGATGTTGGAGGTTACCTAATTCCATCCACCAGTCCTATGATACAAGCTTGGAGACAGGAAGGCGATAAAATCACCAGGCAATTAAATGGCAGAGGCATTAAAACCCAGCTCAAGCCAAGACCGGTTTGGCTCAGTGGTAGAGCGTTGGTCTGCGGACTGAAAGGTCCCAGGTTCGATTCCGGTCAAGGGCATGTACATTGGTTGCGGGCACATCCCCGGTAGGGGGTGTGCAAGAGGCAGCTGGTTGATGTTTCTCTCTCATAGACGTTTCTAGCTCTCTATCCCTCTCTCCTCCTCTCTGTAAAAAATCAATATATATATATATATCCCAGCTCAACAAATTCTCTGCTAGTTTAGCACCCTGTGTAGTCTGGTCCCCTGTTGATGCCTCCTCCAAAAAATATTAATTCCTGTGTCCTTCTGAGACTTGTCACTGAAGTTGGTTAGAATTATTAGTTCTACCCAAGCTCAGCGGCATTACACATAGAGAACTACACACTCTAGTCAGCCCTGATGATATTCATGGTGAAAAAAAGTTTAGACTGTATGTCTCCCATCTCACACCATTTACTTCCTTGCTGAGAAACCAATGACACGAGGGCCATACCTCCACCTCCATCAAGCTTGTCTGTGTAGCCTCCTTTTTGGAGTTCCAGAAAAACTTGGTTATTTTACAGATAGGAACACCCAGGCCCAGAAAAGGCAAAACTCAGCCAGGTCCTGGTCCAGACTCAGGTCCCAGTGCCTTGTGTCAAGTGAGGGCCTGAGCATTTTCCAGCAAGGTCTGACAGAGCAGAAACTAATTAGTTTGGGTTTGCCGGACAGATGGCTAGGAGCCAGTTGGATCTAATGCACTGTCTGAGAAGTAAAAAGCCAACATTAAGTGCCTGGTGGTGGAAGAGGGGGTGTTTTCTAAATAAATTTTAAAACCCTGCTACAGATGCTGCCAATAAGTGGACTCAAAGATACAGTAAGTACTTCTTTGAAGAACATTTCTTTCACATTAAAGATGGATGCAGTGGCTTGAGAGTGCTTACTACACAAGTTTAATTCCTGGCTCAGTAACTTACCAGCTATGTGACCTGGGGCAAGTTATCTAACTTCTCTCAACTTCACTTTCTAAAACTGTTAGGACTAAATGAACAATCACTGTTAGAGAACTCCACATGCTCTATTGTGCTATGGTTAGTGATTAAAACATCACTTGTCTTATAGGATAAAGTAGTCACAATTACTTGAGATATCCTTAGCCTTCTGAAATTTAATTTGCCATGGCAGTTAAGGGACGACAAAACAATTCAGTCCAAAGTGTGTTACTACTGATCAACAAAATTTGATCAGAACAGAGCATTATACTCAAACACAGCTGTATTTACTAGGGACACATTTCTGAAATGTTAGTCCTCCTTACTGCCCTCCCTCTTCCCACCAAAAAACAACCTTGGTAATAAAAAACACTAAGCAGAGTTGCGTATAATGTATTCCCTATTTTTAAAAAAGAATCTGTGTGAATGACACACACACACACACATATACTAATATAAAGGTGCTATACAAATTAACTGTCACTCTGCCACAAAGATGGTGGTGCCCATAGCCACAAGATAGGCCTAAGCCATTATAGCTCCCAGATTGGAGAGGGTGCAGGTCAGGCTGAGGGACCCTTCCCTCCCGTAAACGAATGTCGTGCACTGGACCTCTAGTATAATTTTAAATGTGCCCTCCAGGTATTGCCCCCCTCCCTTGGACTTTTGCAAAAGATATGCAACACATGGTGAAATATATTTAGAGCTACTTTCATAATCCCTGGGCATAATGATGATCTCCAATTACTAGGAAAGAAAGGGTACTTACTCTCTTTAGGAAGTGGAAGACTAGTTTATAAATACTTTTATCTATACTGAATTACAAGATATCCCAAGCACAGGATAAACAAGCAAATGAACAGACCTACTACTTCATAAAAAAATCCACCAAGGACTCTAGGAGCTTACTGAATTATAAATACCAACACCAGTTTCCTCAGAAAACCAAGAGAGAGATGGTGGTATTGCCCAGTGGAGGGCCATGCAAAACTGAACTGTTCTTCAATTTAATAAGGTGAAAATAAGTATCAGTCACGAAAGGTTTTGAAATGTGTGTCCAAGTAACTGAAATACCATCCATGAAATAGTTACAACCACCAAAATAATGAAGGCTTATTTTTCTATTTTACTTCAAAAGGAACAAATAAATTGGGTCATCAGTCTGATAAATTCTGGATTTGTCACATCTCCAGAAACTGTACAAACGGATAGTTCTTTTGTTTTACTTAAGTTATTTTTTAACATGTATATCACATAAGGCAAATTCACTTCATGCTTTGTTTTAGTAAAATGGAAAAAAAAGCTTTCTCCAAAATTGGCACTAACGTTATTTTAAGTTAATAACGAAGAGATACATTCAACTACAGGCAGAATGAAAACAGTCATGATACATATCAAACAAAATGATTTCCTTTATATCATCAGCAATGAGAACTCCAGAGGTAGAATGGCAGAAACGAGCATGGATCCTATCAGGTCACAACCAATGAAGAAATTAAATTTATTTATTTTTCTATGGTTTTGCCCATAAATTGCTTTACACATTTAGGACCTGAATAAAAACCACTCTCAGCAGAAATCTTGGCCCATTAATTCAACTGACATATCAATTTACAACTTTTAGAACTGCAGATATAAAAAATGTAAAGTATAAAATTATGTAAGTTTGAAATGGTTTTAATCATATTCATTAAAAATATTTACATTTCCCAGAACTTACTTGACAAAACGCCCTTGCAATATAATTCTACTCTAAACTTCTATTTATAAAATGAGGCTCATTTATGAGATTTCAATGAATGTTATACTGCAAATTACTTACATTTGTAAAATATTTCAAGAACTTTTCATATCAAAGGTAGTTTATATTGGATTATCTGAAACCCAATAGTGCCCACAGATGAGCTCCTTATAGTCCTTTTCATTAATGCTTGGAAAGCACTGTGAAAATGAAAAGTGCTGTTAAGTGCTATCGTCTCCCTTAAATTTTACTGACACTGTGTGCACATTGTGAAATAAACACATATGCAGCATGGCCATGTTTTGATATGTATTTTTATTTCCCTGCAGTTTTCACTTATCAAGAACAAGTAACAGGGAAAGTTGTCTGAACTAGTGCATAAACAAACATTCTGAAACACCACTACACGTATCTAATTTACAAGAACCGTATAAAAAAAGTCACTAAAACACTACACTATGAAGGTGTCCAACGCTTACAGTCAGACTTTTTCCAACCCGTTACTTGCCTTGTAGCCACAGGAAAACTCTCCAAAATTGAAAAGACAATCTTGCCACAACCCTCCCCCCTCCCAACACCTGGGATGGCTCGATATCTAGACTTCCAATAATTATTGCAATGATATAATAATGCAATACATACCTGGTAAAATACCCTTTATGTGGTGTGTTACAGTTTTAAAGCCAGTTAAAATATGCAGTCTTCAGATAAAATGTAATCCTTGAAAAATTTTCATATCTGCACAGTTTAAATGTGCTAGATGCATAATTTTTCCTAGTCCTTTTTTTCTGTGTAATTATTTTTTATAAACTGGTATTATAAATAGAAATATACATTCAAAATATATGGAAAAGTGAGTTACTACATTAAATTTGCATGTATCGATCCATCCCTTTCCCCTGCACAGTAATAGAAAATACTATTTTGCCTTGAACTTCATATTTGACAGTGAAATGCCACTAAAGTATTTACCAAAAAGTCCATCTAGTCAAATTGTGAAACAAAATGAACCAAGTGAAAACTTTACAGTTCCTTTAGAAAAAAATTACAAGAATTTCATTTCCTAGCTATGAATCTTTAACGTTTTAGACACAAAGTTGGATTTATTTTTACAAGATACAAAATGTAAACATGGCAAAATAAATAGTTAAAACAAGTGATGTAGGATCCCATTTCATGCTCATGATCCCATTAAAGAATTATTTTTTTTTAAATCCATTCAGTTGCAAATTCAAGTGCAAAAGCATGATGATGAATATCTACTATTCAAGTAACAGAAATAATATTGATGATACAAATAAACTATTTTACAAGGTAGTGATTTTCCCGATTTTACAAAATATACATCATATATGGATTACACATCCGATATACTGTAGTCCATTTAGGTCCATGGTTAACCTCTGTGATCCACAGAGTGTCGCCTTTTGTATTCAGCTGGAATATGAATGACTGCACACCATCAGCACAGGTCAAAGCCACATGTTTTAGGTTATGTCACTTCCATAGCTACTGTTGTCTCTGCTATTCCATTTAAACCCAATCTTTCTGGTTCATGGTTCTCTCTATAATAAGGCAAAGAGTAAAATAAACATTAACACTCTCTAGTATTTACAGATACCTTTTTATGTACTATAACTAAACATGTACTTCCCAAGAACATTTCCCAACTTTTATAATTTCTATACAGGAATGAGAAAAAGTTCCCTTTAGCTAAGAAATCCTATTAGTTCCTAATTACTTGATTATAACTATTTACTTAGGGGGGGGAAAAGGAATTTAACACAAATTTCAGTAGAAGCGAGTGATAAAATTACTTATGCAATATATAACATAGGACAATCCATTTTTTTTACAATAGATGGAGCTTATGATGCTCCAAAACAATGATCACTAGGAGCACAATATTAAATTACTTTCTACTGTAGTTTAACTTTTTAGCTTCAAGGTAATGTAGTTATTAACCAATGCAAATCAATTTTTTAATTCATTGTTTTCATGTATTAATTTCACAGAAAGATAAGATTTAGTTAATCCCAAAATATTATCAATTTTACTATATACATAGAATAATTTACTTTCCTCTTGTGTTTAATGTTAAAGAAAACACAAATGTGATTTGAAAATTAAGGCTCTGACATGGATGTTAATAACAACTCTAATCTTCCAGATTGTTTAAACTACTAGTAAGTCGTATAAGAGTAACTGAAGTTCCTAAAATAGGTGTGTTATATATCTCTTTTGGATTGATGATTCCCAATTTATGTGGTTTTCTCCTGTGTTTTATAATTTGGCTGGCCTTTAAACACTGCAGTAATGACCTCAAACAAATAATAAATCAAAGCACTTTACACTAAGCAGATATTCAATATCTGTTGAAGAGCAAGCCAATCAACAGACATCTATTACTTGAGCAGTAAAAAAAAAAAAAGTCTTTTCCTCCCTCAGAGTAGCCAGCAGAAAGGGATAGAATGATGCCTGAAACAAGCGCACACACACCTTGCTATGCTGCTGATGGCACTGCTGGGAGTAACCTTTGGCACTCTGTCCATACTGGCAGCAACTGTGGCAAGTTTTAAGGCTGTTGGCGATGGTGCTGAAGTCCGTGTATTGATATGCACATTGACTGGAGAAACAACACTGACGTTATTGAGGTGCACTGCATTTGTCAGGCAAGAACTGTTCATGGGAAGTGTCGGAGGACTGCTTGTGCACAAGGCTGGGATTAAGTGATTTGTAGTGGTGTGGCCAACTGTCCTTACAAGTTGTACGGCTGAAATCCCTGGGTTGGATGATAAAGCCATGTTGGTGGAGTATAACGTTTTAGAGGTTCCTGAAGGAGAAAAAAAAATCATTCAATTTATGTCATGAGACATATTAAAAGATTTTAATAATAAAAATATATGTAAACATTTGTAATCTAATTAAACTCCATGTCAACTTTCCACATAATGGCCTCTCAAAAGACAGTTTCTGATTAGTAAGACAACATACGCACCTGTTATAGCCCCAAAGACAAAGACACCCTCTTTCTACATAAAAGGGCTTTACAAATTATTCTGTTGCCTCCATATTTGGAAATTGTATAATAGGACAGAGTGGTCCATTATGGAGGCTGAGGGCAGGTGAAGACTATAGTTGGATTTCTATTAGAATGAACACATGTAAGAACATCAGTAAGGAGAATCCATCAAGATTGTGGATGCATGCCAAAGCAAGTGAAAATCCTAAAGTTAGAGCAGTAGTTGAAGGATGTTAAGAACAGCAAGTCTCTGAGGACTCGGGGTGATAAGAAGCAGACAGGATTTCAGAGCAATGCTGTACTTCAAGAGGAGTCAGAGAAAGCAGGCCTATGAGTATGTAAACTGGGGAGGCAAACCCATTTCAATCTTATTGATCATCCCGCACAGAATTTCGTTTTTTAACAAAGCATGGATAATTCAGCGGCAGTGTTTAGTGATTAGATTGATGCATTTCCTAAGATATGAGCAACTGACAGGACATGGATAAAACCAGGCAGGGTGGAGTCACAGAGGTAGATATCCAGTGGGTGTAGGACAAAAGAAACAGGAAGCAGGCTCTATTTGAATGCTAAAACACATCCAGCTGTTCCACCACTCATAATCCACAGAAGACGTTTGGTACATCTTCCCCACAGATTTAAAAACAAAAATCATACCTCAAATCACTGAGTTACAATGTTGAGCTAGTAAGTACCACACGAAACCACAGGCTTACCTGAAGGCTGGACAACACCGTTTATGTTGTTGTGCCCAGTGTTCTGTTCCTTGGCCGACTCACTGCGACTGGGAACAGGCGCACTGACCACTGCAGATGCAGCAAAGTGGGCGCTGGCTGAGTCAAGTGTTTTAGACATACAGTCAGAGGTGCTTGAGCCCTGTAAAATGAACAAAATTAAACCCAACTTTTTTTTAGATGTGATTCCATGAACATATTAAGAAACGGGCAAAACCCCCGAAGAGGCTGTTGCTTTTTCATGCGGAACAGTTACAAGTGTTTAGATTAAGAGACAGAAGGCTCTGGCCACGGCCTATATTGCTAGGTGGTTAGAAAGTCAGACATACACTGAAGGGTCATAGGTTTGATTCCCGGTCAGGGGCATGTACTTGGGTTACCAGTTTACTCCCCACACCTGAGGCATGTGTCAAGCAACCAATTGATGTATCTTGCTCACATTGATGCTTCTTTCTCTCCCCCTACCTCCTCTCTGAAAAAGCAATAGGAAAAAATCCTCTGGTGAGGATTAACAAAACAAAACAAAACAAAACAAAACAAAAAAAAAGATATATTTATCTATCTATCTATCTATCTATCTATCTATCTATCTATCTATCTATCTATCTCCAGGGCTTAATAGACTATTTTTGTCATGTGAAATAGAGAAGTGACCAAAAACTGAGAAATAACTATTTCTCAGAAAGAACTAGGGGACTGAAAAAAAAAAAAACCCAACAAAACCAAAACCTTTAATACTCTATACATTTTTTCCAGTAAGTGTTAATGAATGCCTTTAAACATACTTGACAATCTTGATACTATGAGCAAAATAAAATCAGAGATGACTTACAGTCATCTTTGTCACAATGTAAGAAAACGTGTCTTGGTCTAATCCTGGAGTAGGCTGAAAACACTTCAGGCTGGTTACACAAGAGACTCAAAAAAAAAAAAAAAAAAAAAAAAAAAAAAGCAAATAAAAAGGCAAGTTTAATGGCATTTATTATTTTTAAAAATTTATCTTTATTGTTGAGAGTATTACAGATGTCCCCCATTGCCCTCCTCCACTCCAGGCCTTCACGGCACTATTGTCTGTGTCCATGAACTATGCATACATGCATATAAGTTCTTTGGTTAATCTCTTTCCCACTGCCTCTTCCCTCTGAGATTCATCAGTCTGTTGCATGCTTCCATGTCTCTGGAGCTTTTTGTTCGTCAATTTATTTTGTTCATTAGATTCCATAGATAAGTGAGATCATGTGATATTTGTCTTTCTCTGACTGGCTTATTTCGCTTAGCATAACATTCTCCAGGTCCCTCCATGCTATCTCAAAGAGAAGATCTTTTTTTTTATAGCTGTATAGTATTCCATTGTGCAAATGTACCACTGCTTTTTAATCCACTCATCTACTGATGGGCACTTGGGCTGTTTTCAGATCTTAGCTATGGTAAATAAAGCTGCTACAAACATAGGGGTGCATGTAGTCTTTCTGATTGGTTTTTTCAGGATTCTTGTATATATCCTGAGAGTGGGATCACTGGGTTGAAAGACAGCTCCATTTTTAATTTTCTGAGGAAACTCCATACTACTTTCCATAGTGGTGACACCAGTTTGCATTCCCACCAGCAGTGTATTAGGGTTCCTTTTTCCCCACATCCTCATCAGCACTTGTTTGTTGATTTGTTGATAGTAGCCATTCTGGCCAGTGTGAGGTGATTCCGCATTAGATAATTTGCATCTTTCTGATGATTAGTGACATTGAGCATTTTTCCATATGTCCTTTGGCCATCTGTATGTCTGACTTGAAGTGTCTATTTAGGTTCTTTGAGTGGCATTTACTCTTGATTCTGTATAAAACTGGTAGCTATTACTAACAGCCAACAACCCTAGAATGTGGGCTAGTCCCAAACCCACCAAGATGATAGCGGAGTGTTAAGGAGCCCTAGAATGACTGAGATTTTCATGTTGCTGGACATGGGATCTCAAGGTTGGTGTACTGACCTTTGAGAATGAACTGAACTAACTACTGTGGGCAGATGATGGCCTGAGGTATAACAAACTGAGTTAATCTCATTATTATTTGAGAAAAATGTAAGAACTAAAACACTGGGTTTATTTTTTCAGATGGCTCAAATCTGAAATACACTTCTCAGTTAGTTTTGTTTTTAATGGTTTAAACAACAAACATTGTCATACATATTTCAGAGGCCAAAAGTCCAAAATGAGTCTATAGGGCTCATCTCAAGGTGTTGAAAGCTTTTTCTCTTCTGGCAATTATAATTTTATCAGGTATTTTTATTCTTATCCATAGTGTCTTCCTTTAATGGTGCTTATGGACCTCACCTGGTGGCATTTTTTTCTTCAGGGAAATATGATTCAAGAAAATATGTTTAGAGTTAATGCACAATTCAAGAGAAGTAAATACCTTTCAGCTTGGGGCACAACCACATGGCACTAGTGGTTAGGAAAGTTAGTGCTTAAAAATATTTTTTTGGAGGGACAGTAAGAGTTGGGGGATAATGATTCTAAAAGTATGCAGTTGTTTTTACAAATTCTCAATAACCCTTCAAAACATTTTTTCCTAAATTAAAAATATCCGATTTGGTTCTACTGTGCCTCTCATAAAATATGAACTGGTCATATAAAATTAAAATTATGTAAATTAATTAAAAAGACACTTAAGAGGTTTGATCTTTAAAATCAAGAGTGGCAATATCAAGATTATTTCCTATGACTTGACTACAAGTGAACAGGACTATGAAATTATGAGAGAAAGGAAGAGAAATAAGCATGGTTAAAGACAGGCTTACCTGTGCTTTTGGATGTGTCTGTTGCGAGGAATGCTGAGATTGCTGTTTCTGCTGAAGCTGAGCAAGTTGCTGCCTTTGCATTTGAACTAGCTGCTGTTGATGTGTCTGAAACTGCTCTTCTGTGATACCCCCTGTTACTAATAAAGAACATTAATTTCAGAAGTATGTTTAAAAGCACTTTTAACAACACAAATGAAACACAAATTTATTCCACATTTAAGATGAAAAGCAATTATAAACCACAATATACATCATCAGCAAAGAATCCAATAAAAATGACAAATCTTTCAGCAAAAGTGGTTTATGCTAATATGCATGACCTTATATTAAAAGTTCCTATATTTTTTTACTATATAACATATCCCTGATATGACAATTCTATCATTTATTCAGACTCATTATCTGTGATCACTCTTACTTCTCTACACTATGTTAATAACTACAATGAGAAAACTTTGATTTATTAGTGCAAATAATATTAAGGATAAGTTAAGTTATAACCATAATAAGAACACAGGACCATCTATAATAATGTAATTGGTTCTGATTGGTTTTCATCTATGACAATATGAAAATACTTAAAAAAAAAAAATCACAAATCAGAGTGAAAGACAATGATGTTCATCTTACATAACCATTTTAACCAGCAGTTTTCAACTTCTTTCATCTCATGGCACACATAAACTAATTACTAAAAGTCTTTGGCACACCAAAAAATTACATTATTTTTTATTTTTTATTAATTTTTTTAATCTGACAAAAAAATAGGTATTTTACACTGGACGGCTATTGTGTTGGCTGATGCCATTTATTTATTTGACAACGTAAGGAAAAAGAGGTCAGTGGCCCTGACCAGTTAGGTATTGCATGTTTTAAAATTCTTGCAGCATACTGGTTGAAAATCGCTGCCATAAACCATAGCTCAAGCCAATAAATTAGCTGTATAAAATAAGTCCTAACTATAAAAATATGGGCTAGAAATCAGGGAGATATTCAGAAAATTAAAGATACAATGTTTCCTCAGATAGAACTGATTATGCTATAACCAACTGTATTAAAAGTTAGTAATTTAAAATAAAAGCAAGGCATCTAAAACTTCTGTTGAAAAAATTAGCTAAGTAAAAGTAATATAAGAAATATTTTTCTCAAACAAATGTATACAAACTTTCATATTTAAGTAGCTCACTGATAAAATGATTTAGGACACAAAGCTATTTCCATAGCAGTTTCTATGTTATTCGAGTCAAGAAATATTAAATCACATCAGAATATATGTACTACTAGAATTTCGCTTTTTAAAAAAAGTTAATTTTGAGAGAGAGAGAGAGAGAGAGAGAGAGAGACAGAGAGAGAGAAAGAGAGGGAGGGAGGGAGGGAGGGAGAGAGAGAGAGAGAGAGAGAGAGAGAGAGAGAGAGAAGGGAGGAGAGGAAAGGGGGGGGGGGAGTGGAGAGAAAGATTCCTTGCTCCACTTATTTATGCATTCATTGGTTGTTTCTTGTATTTGTATGTGCCCTGACCAGGATCTAATCTGCAACCTTGGCGTATTGGGACCATGCTGTATCAGCAGTCACCAGCCTTTCAGACCTCAGGGATCACCGGTGGTCTGCAGCTGCTCTAATCAACTGGACTACCTAGCAGGGCTGCTCTATTTTTCTTTATTGCCTTCCTCTCCCCCAACTACGTGTTTCCCCGAAAATAAGACATCCTCCGAAAATAAGACCTAGCACATGGAAAGATAAGACATACCTGAAAATAAGACCTAGCGCAACTTTGGAAGAAAAAATTAATATAAGACACTGTCTTATTTTCAGGGAAACAGGGTACTTTTCTCAGTCAACAAGGATTTACTATCTATTGTGATGAAGAGTGCTGTATTGAGTTAGGCGTGACTATAGGAAAAAATAAATTAAGAAGAAGGTCCTATAGGGTAGTTGAGAAGAACAGATACTTATAAAAAAAAAAAATACCAACTAATAAATGTGTCAACCTTTGAATGCAATCAAGCAATCTAATCAATATAACCTAAACAAGTTTACATAGGAGATAGACCCTTATCCCCAAAGAATTCTGTATAGTAGGATCACAAATGGGAAAAAAATTTGATGGTTAATCAGATATATAATAAGTTATACATAGTATAGTCTATTTTGTATGAAAAGGGAGTTAGGCATCAGAGATGAACAAAGCTTTAATAAGTCTTCATTACTATTCCAAATTATAACAATTAAAAAAGAAATCCTCACTGGAGGATGTTTATTGATCTGAAAAGGTGGGGGGGGGGGGAGGGAGGGAGGGAGGGAGGAAGAGAGAGAGAGAGAGAGAGAGAGAGAGAGAGAGAGAGAGAGATCGATCTACCTCAACCAGTTGCCTCCCATATGTGCCACGATGGTGTGGGGGGAGGGGGCCTAGGTATGGTCCCTGACCAGGAATTGAACCCATGACCTTTTGGTTTATAGATCGATGCTTCAACCAACTGAGCCTCACAGGCCAGGGCTTCCACAATTCTAATCATCATTAAAACATGTATTAGACAACGAGGGGAAAACAGTTCTTACACAGACAGCAATTTTATTTTCAGAAGATTAAAAAGCCTCGGGCTATGATAGTGCTCACTAAGATGTTAATATTACCTGTATTTGTGAAGTACACATTAGTTATCTTACTGAATTACCAACAAAATCAAATGTTTTTCTTTGCACTTATTAAATTCACTGCAAGTGTTCTATTTTTAAATGGAAAATAATAATTTTAATTCTAAGTGTACAATCTTCAAAATCAAATGAAAATATGAAGTATTCATGAATTTCCAGCTGTTTGAAAACCTTGGGAAAGATAAAAAATAGTTTATTAGATACAAAGGAGGAAGGAAAATTTCAGCCCCCAAAAATCTGTTTAGTCCTATATGTGTAAGGAGTATAATCAACTAAAAAAAAAAAATAAAAAAAAAAATGACTTGGAATCTGGTGTTAACATGGTTCACTCCTCAAACCCAGTATTATGCTTGTCCAGAGCTAAGGGTTATATTGTGGTAAAAAACTGAGTCAGTGGTTAACTTTAAGTGAATAAACCGAACAAGGAATATACTTTTAATGGCTATTTTAAAATTAAAGAGAAATGAGGATAAGTAACTTTTCTATTTCCAAAATATTTTAAAGTCAGACTGTCATAAAATCTTACTAATTCAAAATAAAGTATATACTAAATTAGTAGAAAGAAGAAAGTGTACTTTTTAAAATTAAAATAATTACTTTTGGTTGGTAGTCCATGGCAAACATTGCTAATTATAGTATTGCTAATTATAGGTATTCAACTTGCTTTTATGAATAATCATTTGTGTATACAAAAAAGGAATGCTGATAAAAATTGCCCATTTTGGGGGCTAGGTCTACTTATTGCTCTGTTGAGAGCCATTAGTTTGCTCAGGAACCCCACATTGTTTCCTAGATACACAGGATTCAATGTATTCTCAGATGTATCTCCAACCAAAGAGCAATCCAATTATTCAAATTAATGGTCATTGTTTCCCAATTTTTTAAACTTAAGCTGACTGATTCTCATTCCTGGTTCCATTACTGGTTGAGAATTTAATATAATATGCTTTAAATTTTACATTCATTGTTGTTTCTCTTCTCTCTCACCTCAAATTTTAACATATTGATACTTGTTACCGAGCATCTTCTTTACTATAAGGTGCTTGTGATTGAAACAAGCTGCAGTTCCTCAGTCAGAATTTTCTAGAGCATTGTTAGTGTTATTGCAATTCTTTAGACAAAAACAGCAAGAGTACCATGACTCAAACAAAATAGCCTTTGTAACTGACTCACTTTCCTTTTGTTAGGGTGAATGGAAAATGGTAAGAAATGGATGGTTTTAGTGGCATAGACACAGGACTGAATTATTCTCAGGGTTGACTTACTTATTGGTGGAGGATGGTAATGAAATTATTCTCAGGGTTGACTTACTTATTGGTGGAGGATGGTTTCATTTGAATGAAAGTACCTTCTCTACTAATTATTTTTCCTTTAAAAAATTACTGAAATACTTCCACAAGATATTTATTTCTTACAATAATTTTGAGTTATCAAGAGGTAAGCATTAATATAATAAGGACAAGGTCATTCAATAGCATGAAGAAATCTGTTTAGGAATGAGATACAGGACAGGGGCCCAGAGCTTTGGTTCGGTGGGAGTGTCACAAAGGGAAAGAGGAATGTACAAAAGAGAAACCTTGTCTGCTTCTGTTGCTTAGGACCAACCCAAGTTCTTTCCTCTGGTTGCTCTGAAGTTGCTAGTTTAGAAGTGAAATTCATGCCAATCATAAATCTGCCCTACCCAACGCCTCCAAGTCCTACTGGTTTAAAAGTAACCACAAAGCTGAATGTTTTGTGAAGATGGCAGTATTTCACTATCCCAAGTCTCACCTTGGGAAGTGTTCCTTTCCCTAAGTAAAAAGTTATGCAAATCTCCCTGGGTAAACACATTCGAATAGGTAGATATTGCAGAATCTTCCCTTTTATGTAAATAGTAGAGGCCTGGTGCACAAAATTCATGCATTTGGGGGGGGGGGCTCAGCCCCGGTGCTGGGGGCCTTCAAAGAAATGTCCAACTGATGGCTTAGGCCTGCTCCTCAGCAGTTGGACATCCTTAGCACTGCCGCAGAGGTTGGAGAGGCTCCCACCACTGCCGCTATGCTCACAGCCGAGAGCCCAGATTCTAGATGAGCAGCACCCCCCTTACCCGCCCCTTCATGGGAGTGCAATGACCACCAGGGGACAGCTCCTGGAACGAGTGTCTGCCCCTGGTAGTCAATGTGCACCACAGCGGCCGGTTGTTCCATTGCTCAGTCAAATTTGCATATTAGCCTTTTATTATATAGGATGTTTTTATTGATTGCAGAGAGGAAAGGCGAGGGAGGGAAAGATAAAAATATCAGTAATCATTGATTGGCTGTCTCCTGAACACGCCATACTGAGGGTTGGGCTCACAACCTGGGCATGTGCCCTGACGGAATCGAACTGTGAGCTCCTGGTCCATAGGACAATGATCAACCACAGAGCTACACTGGCTGGGCTATCTTAAAACTTTTATGCTTGCCAACATTTTCTGGCAATTTAAGAAAAAAAGAGAAATTGAAAA